CTTCTCAAGGGATTTTTGGATTTTGGTGAAAGTAGTCTGTGAACATTTAGAAAGTATAAATTCACTGAGAATAAAGAAATTTTATAGGCATAAGTCCGGAAAAAAAAAAAATCTCTCGGGGGTGCTAGACCTCGGGCCTTGGCTCCGCATGAGAAAGAATTTATGCCGAAGCCTGGTTTGTGATCCTAGTGAGTTTTATAATAGAAGACGCTTCAGGTTTACACAGGCACCTGCTGGGGCCCTCACCCCATGTAGCTTCCCTGGAAGCTGGTCAGAAAGTCACGCGTGGTGGGCTCTGGGCTCTGGCCTTTTCGATTATTCCATGGGAGGCGTGGTCTACCCTGGTTGACCCCATTGGCTGAATTGAATTTACCTGGCCTAGGTGAGCCAGTCCAGGTGCAGCACCCACCTAGGTGTACCTCCCCTTCCTGGCCGGAAGCCTGAACCTCTGAGCATGTGCAGTGTACCACTCCTTCATGGGCCTGTAGCTTGGACCTCTGAGCATGCATAATGGATGCCCCAGTCCCTACGCTAAACTAACGTGGCTACCTAACATAGCTACAGTGTCAACCCATCTTGTTCAGGGCCTTCCTCTTTTTTGCCACCCCTCCACTTTACCAAACTTGATGTCCTTCTCCAAGGACTGGTCTCTCCTGATAGTATGTCTAAAATATATAAGACAAAGTCTTGCCATCTTTGCCTCTAAGGAGCACTCTGGCCTTACAGATCGGTTTGTCATGATACATTCAATATTCTTCTCCAGCACCACAATTCAAATGTATCTATTCTTCTACCGTCTTTCTTATTCAATGTCCAACTTTCACATGCAGATGAGGCAATGGAGAATGCCATGGCTTGGGTCAGCTGCATCTTACTTACCTATTAGTGTAGTTGTGAAGATTTTGGTCTTAATTTTCATTGAGTTGTAATCCATACTGAAGGCCACAATCCTTGATTTTCATCAGGAAGTGCTCAATTCCTCTTCATTTTCAGCAAGGTTGTGCCCTCTGCACATTGTAGGTTAATAAGCCTTATTCCAATCCGGATGCCACACTTCTTCATATAATCTAGCTTCTCTGATAATTTGCTTAGCATACAGATTGAACAAGTATGGTGAGAGGATGCAACCCAGATGCACACCTTTCCTGATTTTAAATCATGCAATATTCCCTTGTTCTGTTTGCACAACTGCCTCTTGATCCATGTACAAGTTCCTCATGAACACAATGAAGTGTTCTGGAATTCCTATTCTTCTCAAGCTTATCCATTTTATTATGGTACACATAGTCAAATGCTTTTGCTTAGTTATGAAACACAAGTAAACATCTTTTTAGTATGATCTGCTTTGAGCCAAGATCCATCTGACATCAGCAATGATAGCCTTGTTCCATGTCCTCTTGTGAATCTAACCGGAACTTCTGGCAGTTCCCTGTCAAGGTACTGCTGCAACCATTGTTGGATGATCTTAAGCAACATTTTACTTGTGTGCAAGATCAAGGACAAATCATTCTATAGTTTGAGCATTCTGTTGGAATGGGCACAAATATAGCTCTTTTCCAGTCAGTTGGCCTGTCTTTCAAATTTCCCGGCATAGAATAGTATTTCTTTTTCAGAGCAATACTCAAAAAGAGAAGGGCTTCTTCAGCTTTCTGAAATATTTCAATGGGTATTCCATCAATTCTGGAGCCTTGTTTTTGGCTAATGCACTCAGTGCAGTTTGAACTTCTTTCAGCATCATTGGCTCTTGCTCGTATGCTACCTCCTGAAATGATGACTGTCGACTAGTTCTTTTTAGCACAGTGACTCTGTATTCTTTCCATCTTCTCCTGATGCTTCCTGCATCGATCACTATTTTTTCTATAGTCTCTTACAATCTAATTTGGTACAGAAATATTTTCCTTTCCTGGCTCCAAATTCTCTCTCTACCCAAGAGCCATTTCTGGGGTACACAGAGAAATTTCTAACACTTCAGTGCTTACCATAATGCCTTTTTGGTCAATTGTACAGTTATCTAAGGGGCACTTCTACTCTGTTCTATAGGGTACCTATTTGTCACAATCAACTTGATGGCAGTGTTTGGTTTTGGTATTACATATATAAAAGGAACCTGATAATACAAGTACGCACAGGACTGCTAATCACAAGATTGACAGCTCTACCCCACCAACCCACTCCTTAAGAGAAAGATAAAGGTATCCAGATGCTCTGGTGAGGATTTATAGATTTGGCCACAATACATAAGATAAAAAAATCAAACTAGCTATTTCCTTATAGGACAGAGACTTTCCCCTGTGGACTTCTGAGACTACAAATCTTTATTATTATTATTTTAAATCATTGTATTGGGGCTCTTACAGCTCTTATTACAATCCATCCAAAATACATTGTGTCAAGCAAATGTGTACATATGTTGCCATCATCATTTTCAAAACATTTTCTACTTGAGCTCTTGGTATCAGCTCATTTTTGCCCACCCCCCATAAACACTTGATAATTTATAATTTTTTATGTCTATACCAACCGCTGTCTCCCTTCACCCACTTTTCTGTTGTTTATCCCCCTGGAAGTGGGTTATATGTTGATCATTGTGATTGGTTCCCCCTATCTTCCACTTTCCCCTCGACCTCCTGATATCGCTACTCTCATTGGTCCGGAGGGGTTTATCTGCCCTGGATTTCTTGTGTTTCCAGCTGTTATCTGTACCAGTGTACATGTGCTGGTCTAGTTGGATTTGTAAGGTAAAATGGGGTCATGATAGTGGGGGAGAGGAAGCATTAAAGAACTAGAGGAAAGTTGTATGTTTCATCAGTGCTAAACAGTACCCTAACTGGATCATCTAAACTACAAATCTTTATGAGAGTAGAAAGTTTCATCTTTTTACAGCAGTGGCTGGAGGGTTCATGTTGATGACCTAGGTTAGCAGCCCAAGTGAGTCACTATGCCACCAGGACTCATATTTAACATCAGTTATCCAAATGTTTGTATTAGCATTTATGCATTCAATAATAAGACACTTCCAGATATGTAGGGTAGCTGTAAGTCAGAATCAACTTGATGAGTTTTTTTTTAATTACCTGAATACAGAGCCCTGGTGAAACTAAGGCTACTAATCACAAAGTCTGTGGTTCAAACCCACCAGCTACAGGGTGAGGGTGGAGTAAGGTGGGAAAGATGAGGCTATCTAGACTGTAAAGATTTGGTCTCAGGAACTGTATACAGTGTTACTAGGAGTTGAAATTGAGTTGATGATAGTGGGTTTATAATCTAGATGTATAGAAAATATGATACAATGCTTAAGTTAAAAAAACAAAACTGGATTACAAAATGACATGCATACATTAATATAAAAAGAAAAAGAGACTGTGGAAGGAACCAAAGTATTGATTTGTCATGTTGTCAGGAGAGACCAGCCCCTGGAGAAGGACATCCTGTTGGGTAAAGTAGGAGGGCAGAGAAAAGAGAGGAAGGCCCTGAAGGAGATGGATTGACACAGTGGCTACATGTGGGCTCGTGCAGAGGAACAATTGTGAAGATGGTGCAGTACCCAGCAGTGTTTGGTTGTGTTGTGCATAAGGTCACTATGAGTCAAAACAGACTCCATGGCGCCTGATAACATTTCTGGGATGAAAAATTAGAGAGGTTAACTTTCTTTCGCCTTTTGTATTTTATTTTTTAAGTTTTGAACAGTAGGACTCTAGTGTAAGTAGTTAGCATTTGTTTTGTCCCACTTTTTTTTAAACATTATTTGGCCTAGGGCTCACCCAGCAAACACATCTCTATTTTATCATGTCATCCAGCTAAAGTTAAGTATCTTCATAAACTCTTTCATATCCACATTGCTAACTAAAATCCTGCAAGTTCCTAGTTTGGGGTTGGGTCTCGTGGAGTTTATGTGAATAAATGATTGCAGAGCAGGGGAACGGCGGTCCCAACTAGCGGAGCTACAAGACAGGGGCTGGCAGGAGCCTTCGGGAGCTGATATTCAAAACTGAGGTGGAAGGAAAAAGGGGCGTGGTGAGGGAGAATTGGAGGCGTTACTCCACCTTTGGCTAGGGCACAAGGGGTTCAGATTTTCGGGCCAGGATTCAGCGGAGAGCGACGGCTGGAGCTTTCACAGCAGGCTTCAGGGCACCATTTATACAGAAGCGCTGGGTCCCATCCGAGTGGGGCTCCTGGAGGCCAAAGAAGTCCTGCCAGCCGGTCAGTGGGTGGGTGGGGTGAGGGCACACTCCAGGTCCAGGAGGCTTCTTGGAATCCGCTGTCTGCAGACGACAGCTGTCCAAAGGCTCCGTACTGCGCGGAAACCTGTCTCCCGATGTGCCAGTCACAGCTCACACTTTACACTTCTCAGCCTGGAAGGAGCTCCTCTCAGGCCTAGCGGCTCCTGCGACTTCCTACTTCAACCGACCCAAACGCCTGGCGGAAGCAGCAGCAGCAGCTTAGCCAGAGACCGCGGCTTCATCCGGGTTCTTCACACCGCGGCCCAATCCTCGGCCTCCTCTGGTCCCACCCTCTCAACCCCCCGCCCCCCCCGCCGCCAATCGCTGATCAGTTCTCAGCCTAACTTGCTGGCATGGGAGTGAAGGCTGATTCCAGCCAATGGGGCCTCGCTTCCCATTTGAAGCCTCCAGTGGGCGGGCGCCGGAGGCGGGCTCTGCTGGCCAGAGAGTTCGGTTGCGCCAGTGCCATGGACTCAGCCGCCCGGTGATATTGACAATAGGAGAGAGAAAGGGGCCTTGACTGGGACCCACGGCGGCTACGGAACGGCGGCTCTGGCAGCGGTGGCTTCAGCTCCAGCGGCTCCTCCTCCTCCTTCCTCCTCCTCTT